CGGGTTCAATCCCCGTAGGACTCTCTTTTTGCTGCGCTTGCAGTCCAACACCTGCGACGAAAGACGCGTCTGGCTGCAGCCTCGCGTCATGAGTTGATTCCGCATCGACTTTTGTGCGGGTTGCTGAGCCACCTTTCCCATTCTCATCGTTCTCGACCGACCAACGGCCGCTTCTTGCAGCGACACACTGCATGTCATAGTCGTCACCTATGGCAGCCGCAGGCGGCGGACGAGCAAGGCCACCTCGAGCGCGTGCGGCGCGGACCGCAGAATCGCGTGGCAGCACAAGCGGGAGACGAAGACGCGGAGAAGACGAAGAGAGGGAGGATGGCGATCCGACTAACGACGTAGGTGACAGCGAAGATCTCGCCGAGGAAGACGATGATGCCCAAGCGGAAGAGTCTGAAGACGAGGACGAGGATGATGACGATGACAACGACGACGACGACGAAGACGAAGACGACGAGGATGGAGACGCTGATGCGGACGAAGACGACGACGAGTCGCCCTTCAAGTTTCTCGAGCGGCTGGACCCCAACTGGCTCACACGGCGAAGCTATCCTCAAGCTGCACTATCCGCTCAGCCGTCGAGTGCGATTGGCGTCGACGGCCGCTCGCCGGCGGGCGGAGCAGACGATGCCGAGTTCTACGCTGCCATGATTCAGATGCTCACGCATGTGCTCGGATCGTCCGACTCCATCGGATGGGCGAGCCAGGCCACGCCCGGATCACAGCTTGCTCCATCGCCCTTTGCACATCCACAGAGTAGCCCAGCGCAGACGCCGAACCACGCAGGTGCATCACATGCTGGACCGTCACGCTCTACGTCTCTTCGGAGCAAGAACGAGCTGTCGGCGCTTCAGCCGCTCATCCAAGCGCTGATCGCTCGTTTGGGCAAAGACCAGCAGGTTTCGCGCCGTCCGGTCGGCGAGCAGGATCTCACGGCGCTGCTCCAGACCCTGATGGAACAGCAGCAGCGGCAACAGCAGCAGCACAGCCAACGGCAGGGCTCGGACGGTCAAGCTGCGCAAGTCTTTCCTTCTTCAAACTACCAGTTTGCGCAACCGAGTCTTGCTACGCAGGCGGCCTCTGATAGCGCCCTCGGCCGCTCGCATCCGCAGACGGACCACACAGGAGTCGGGTTCGGCATCGCTGCGCAGGACGCATACCGGCCGCTCCACTTTGCCGATCTCGACTTTGAAGACGAGGACGAGGACGACCCGGACTTCAATCCGGATCTGAATCCCGACCTGCCTCTGCCCTCGGCGTGGTCGCTGGCGGTACGCGACGTTGTGGCTTCAGAAAAGTCTCGCGCTGCAGCTGCGGCCGTTGCTGCATCCCACTTGGGCACCCCGTCAGGATCTCAAACGCCTGCTGCGCGGCGAGGATCGTACAGAGAAGGCGACCCGCATCCGCATGCACACTTGTTCCCTCATCCCACTTCCTTTGCCACGGAGGCGGATCGACCGCCGGCAAGGGAGCCTTCGACCCACGCGAGCACTTCGGTCGGCGAAGCAAACGAAGGCCTCACCACAGCAGAGCACATCGACACTCATGCAACAGCCGAGGCTGTTCGTGCCGCAAGTGCGACGCAGTCCGAGCCAGAGCAGGGCGAGCAGAGCATTCCGCGCAAGCGGGGCCGCAAGCCTGTACTCGAGCCCGGCGAAGCTCAGCGTCGACGCGCACAGAGGAACGTCGAGTACCAACGCATGCGACGCCAGGTCAAAAAGGCCGAAGAGTCGGAGCAGAGCGAGGCCGTACTCGAGCTCCGTGCCGAGGTCAAGATGCTGCGCGCCGAGATGGAGCGTCTCCGCGACGAAAACGCCATGCTACGAGCGCAGCGCGAGCTCGACCGGCTCCAGCGCTCAAACCGCCGTTGAGAACACACGGCCCGACCTCTTCCTCCGCACGGCGTCCACCTTCCTTTCAGCTCCAGTTCCGCAGTCGCATCTGTAGTCTATCCGCATCCGCATTCGCATCAGCATTCCCTTTGTATTCCTCTCAATGCTTCCCGGGGTCACATCCAGAGCACAACCCGCCACACACGTCGTCAAGGAGTTCAGATCTAGAAACTGAGTTTTCATTCCATGAAGAACGGCATCGGGGAATGGGCCGGGCCGACTGCACAGAAGGGAGGGGGAGGAGGAGCGAAGAGTACGCAGGGGACCGTTTAACCGGAGCCGCCCTTGTAGACCTTGCCGAACATGACCTCCTGGAGCTTGTCGTAACCGGAGAGCACACCGGCACCGGCGATACCACGGAGAATGTTGGCACCGGCACCCTTGAAGAGCGACGAGACACCCTCGGCGGCGACGATGGAGCGACCGGCATCGAACATGTTCTTGTAGTGAACCTTGCCACCCGAGGTCATCATCATGCGACGACGGATGGTGTCGAGAGGGTAGGAAGCAAGACCAGCACCGGTGGTAACACCCCAGCCGAGGAGGAACGAGGCGAGGAAGTTGTTCGAGAGGTTGCCGGTGAGCAGGACGGGCTTGAGCGAGTCGTACATGCCGAAGTAGAGACCACGGTAGACGATGATACCGACGACCGAGGGGACAAAGCCACGGTAGAGACCGGCGATACCGTCCGAGGCGATGGTCTTGCGGTAGACGTCGACGAGGCCGTTGAACTGGCGGTCTCCTCCGCCCTTGGCAGCCGACTTGGCGTCGTTGGCAAGACGGGTACGGGCGTAGTCGAGCGAGTAGACGAAGAGGAGCGACGAGGCACCGGCGGCACCACCGGAGGCAAGGTTGGCCGAGAGCGACTTCCAGTAAGGAGCGGTCTTGGGGACGGCGAAGAGCGACTTGAAGAAGTCCTTGAAGGCGAAGTTGAGCGCCTGGGTGGGGAAGTAACGGATGACGTTAGCGGTGTTACCACGCCAGAGCGAAACCATGCCCTCCTGCTGGTAGGTGCGGACGAAGCAGTCGCCAATGCCCTTGTAGGGGGCGGCAAGACGGCCCTGCTTGATCATCTCATCCTGGTTCTGGATGAGGAGCTTGATTCGCTCGATGGGGGCAGCAGCCGTCTTGGAGACGGCGGCGGAAACACCACCCATGAGGAAGTCGGTGGCGAAGCCACTCATGGTCTTCTTGGTCTTGGCGGGGTCAGCGACGGTACCCATTTTGACTGTGGTGGGTGAGGGCCAAGAATGGAAAGGGCGAAGTGTCAGCCAGCTGCTATCAAAAAATATTGTTGGGTGTACACCAGATACGCCGAGAACCAGACCAAGCAGCGACAACCTAGTGCGACGGCGACGATCGTGAGTGTACAAGAACACCCTGCTGATGATGAGGCGCTAGACATAGCACATGGCATGCCCAGCTCACATCTCAGCAGCGGTCCAACGACATTTCGAGCGCGATCGGCACTCGGAAGCGTCGGCTACTTTGTATGCTCCTGATCTCGACGACGACGACGAAGACGAAGGATACGCAGGCTTTGGAGGGGACATCGGAGAGCGTGTGTGACACCTAGGTGCCATGCTGGTGGAGCACGGCCATGGGACGAGGCATGCTTACCTGTACTACGAAAGAGAGGTGGTAGGTAGGTGAAAGTAAGAAGGAAGGGATGCGCAGAGGGCAGGTATTTTTCAAGGGGATCGCGCGGGTGAGGGCCAGGGGTGGACGGCCACGGCGACGAATGATTGGCCCTCCCTCTCCCTTCCTCCGTCCGACCGGCCGACCTGAATCGCGCAATGGCCAGCGCGGGCCACACACTGGCACAGAGCGGGCGAGCGGGCGAGAAGATAGGCGGGCGAAAGCAGAAGAAAACGAAATTTCGGCCAGCAGCAGCAACAGCACCAGCAGCTGGTGCGCACCGAGAGAATTCGAACCAACCACGGCCCACACTGGCCAAGTGCCCAGCGCACCCGCGAGATCGTGCGTTGGATAGGGAAGGACCGGAGCAGAAACGCACCGCCAGAAGTTCGAACCTGCCTCCCTCGCTCCCCCCCTTCTCGCTCGACGTCTGTGCGGCGCTGCGCCAAGCTGGCAGCGGTCAGCGCGGCTTTGACTTCCGACACTGCACTCCCTGATGTCTGCGATCTTGGCTCTCCCACATGCGTTCCGACACTCGCTGTGTTTTTGAGGCAGGATGGTCAAAGGTCTCCTACAGCGCACGTCCGTTTTACACTCGACACCAGCTCTTCATCCAACAGTGAGGGAGATGGCAATGCTGCAGTCCAGCGGATCGAAATCACAACTGTAGCGCCGCGCTTGACGGAGCACCGATGATGCCAACTGCCACCCACCCCCCGCCAGGAAGAAATTTTTTTGCCGATACGCGGGTTGCGGCTGCCGTCGCTCGTGAACGCCGAGACGAGGCGTCAGGTCAGTGGGGAATTTCTTCCAAAATCAATCGTGCCTGCGCTCTGCCGGTCACTTCGGAAGAAATCGATCTGGCCGAACATCCAGCGTCGCTTTGGAGGAATACAAAAATTGCAACCCGTTTGTAGCTGCGGCCATTACAGCCACCTTTCAACCCGATAGTCGCCTTCCGGGTTCAAACGACAGGCCGGAGCAGCACCGATCGATGCGAACCCCGTCAGACTTGGCTCGCCTCGGGTCCGACGCCGTGCGCTCTGCTGGCCTCGAGCGGGTTTTCCGCTCGTTGTGACCCTGGGCGGCTGTTTCCTTCAACCCCACTGGCGCGATGCCGCTAGTGCCAGCCTGCCACCCTGGGCAAGCCGCTGCCCACGTCGATCCTGTCAAACGGGGCCCCCATACCCACAGGAAAGTTTTCGGCTATCCCGCCTCGGCGGTCCGGATCCTGACTGCTGGCGAATCAACGCATCCCGAATGGTAGCGCCAGCTTGCAGCGTTGGTTGACCTTGTCCACTGCTCTCCCACCCAGCGAGATGACCTCGGTCGTCGATCTGACATCTCACAGGTTGGCCCTCGGCGACCGCACTCCATTCGAACACCCGCGTCCAGGTGTTGGTCTCGGGTCCTCACAGTGTGGGATGGGGGTATATTGAATCGGCGATCTCTACGGTCCTGTGCTGCACTGGTCTCGTTCGGCCTGCTGCTACTGCTTCGAGGGGCGACCCCTCGACGGCGCACCAGACGCGTTGGTGGGAGTACCAAAGATCCTCTCGCGCGCCAAACGATACTCTTCCTGGCGCTGCTCCACCGTCTTGCGCTCTTGAGAGGACGAATCCGACATGGTCGCTGGTGTTCCGTCACTGCGTACGCCAGGAGCCACATTCTTGGGCCGTTGGAGGATCCGCGGTGGCTCTGCCGTAGCGGAGCTGCCTGCGTACGGTGACGAGGGTACCGGCCCGTTCTCGCGAGAATTCAAGCGCTGGCCGTAGGCCGACCCGGGCAGTGTTCGGCCTGGGCCCGACACGACAAGCGGAACAGCCGTAGGTGCCTGTGAGTTGCTGCGAGAGCCATTGGATCAATCGCGCGGAATCGATCACGGGTACCAATGTCAGTTCCAGAGCCCGGCGACGCGATGCGAGCTTTACTCACGCTTCTGTCCACTCGTCCTTGGATGCGCGGAAGACGTCCGCTTGCGCTGGGCTCGTCTCTGCTGCATCGTTCTGCTGCACCGAGGCTGTGTCTTCGTCGCTACTCTCGGCGTCCCAGTCGTCGACCACATCATCCTGCTGCTTCTTCTGCCGTGCCGCGATCGAAGAGGAAGATGGTTTGAATTTGGTGGTGGCCACGATCTCGTCCTTCCCTATTGAGCCTTCCATGGTGCCGACGCGCCAGAGAGAGCCGTGCGAACCACGCGAGTATCCGACTCGGGTTCCCCCTCGAGCGTGTTGTTCCGGCTGTGGACAGGCAGCTTCGGCTCGGCTCTTTGACGTAGGAGAGCACTCCTGGCTCGTGTGAAGGCAACTTCGGATGTGTGGCGTGGTGGTCAACGCTCGAATGAGGTTCCCCCGGGCCTGAGAAGGAGGGGTCCAAGTCAATCGCATCGGCCGATTTCCGAAAAGTGCTTGCTTGCACCCTGTCCACGAGCCTTTTTTTGGGCTCCATTTTCAATGCCGCTTTTTCCCCCCCAATTTCGGTCGGAACTCGCGACCGTGACTTTAGGAAGGTCGTTTTCCGATTTCCGCGTTGTGACAAGACGCGTTGTGGAGGCTCTTGCGCCCTGCAGGCTGAGCTGAGTTGCATGCGCAAGAGCGGCCCAGATGCGCAGAAACGGCCCGCCACCGCCCTCATCAACCTTCTCCAACATCACCCCTGACCAAGTCTTCGCCAATGCACCCACAGATTGCCACATCACAGTGACTGCAAGCAGTCGAGATACCACAGGCGGTCGACCGAGCTCAAATCGCAGTGAACGCAGCCGTGGTCGGCCATGGACGGCATCGTATATCCGCAGCAGGGCGAGAGCAGCAAAGGCCACTACGCTGCCTTCAGCCACGGGGGCGTGGAAGGATTTCTACCAGCCATGAATCCTTCCAGCCAGAGCGAGCTAGAACGTCTGCCTAGCATCGAATTTAGCGCCTCGCAGGGTTTCTTTGGTCAGCTCGATTCATCGCCAACGCCTCGGCCGCCACTGTCTTCTGACCCCTCGACATCCCCCACACTCCACACGCACTATCAAAGCCCATACGCGACCTCCTCGCGCACCGCTCTCTCAGGCATGGATCCGATGAGCACGCTTGGTCACGGCTCACATCCCGCTTTCACTCGATTTCGGGATCATCAGCAGCAAAACTCGCCCCCTGCACGGAGTATCCCAGATGCCAAGCTCTGGAACGATCCTGCGGTCCGTGGCGACCCGATTGGTGCCGGCGCAAAGGCCACATCGCAAACGAGAGGCTCGAACCCCACCCCGCAAATGCGAATCGACTTACCAAGCCATCACTTGGACAGTGAAGACAGGGCACGCAGAGCAGCCGAGGTGGATCGCCGCAACAAGCTGCGCGAGCAAGAAAAGGTGCGAAGAAAGCTGGAAATCCAAAAGCAGATTGACGATGGCTTCGCGGCACTCAGCATGGAAACCGCGACCCCACTGCAGCAGCTACAGGCCAAGCGGGACGAGGAAGACAAGCTTCGCAGAAGGCGAGCACTAGAGCAAGAGATCCAGAACGGCATCACGGCGATCCAACAAGAGAGGATCCGTCAGCGTGCTCGCGTCGAATCGGACCGTCAAGCCTGCCGACAGTGGCTCTCGGATCTGCAACCTGCCAAAGCCTCAGCGGGCACCAGCACAGCTTCACACGTGATCGATGCCATCGATCCCTACCTCGCCCTAGGTCGGCAAATCCGAGGATTCTGGAATCACTCGCGACCGCCAGCCGCAGCCCATTTACGCCGCGACGAGGTCGTTGCAGACGTCCAACGAGCCATCGATCGAAAGTGGCCCGGACAGAACCTCAAGGTTGCAGCCTTCGGCTCCAGCGTGACAGGCTTGCTCACCGCGTCCTCCGACCTGGATCTCGTACTTCTGGATCCTACCCGGCCATACGGCGTGGGTACCCCACCCGATCTTTGTGGCAGCCCCAAAGGATTTGTGCGCCATTCTGCCGGAATGCCAGACTGGTACAGCGTGCACCAAGTGGCGCACGCACTTCGAAACTCGAACAAGTTTGCACCTGTCCAACCCATCAGCGGAGCCAACGTGCCCATCGTCAAGATGGTGCACAGCAAACATGGCATCCCCGCCGACATCAACATCAACGAGCGCTTCGGCCTCTTCAACTCTCAGCTCATCAGCGCTTATGCCGACTTGCAACCGGGCCTGGTGCGTCCGCTCATCTTTTTTCTCAAGCATTGGTATTCGCAACGCGATCTCAACGATCCCGCCGGCAAGACCGGCAGTATGACGTTCAGCAGCTACACCATCGCACTCAAGGCCCTCCAGGTACTCCAGGTTGAGGGATTGCTGCCCAATCTGCAATCCCCGCCCCTACTAAACAGCCTGCAAATCCACCCTAGCTTCCTGTTCGCAAGGCCCAAGCGGCCGAGGCGCAGGAACGAGAAGAAATCCACCGCTGCGTCCGACGAGGCTGTCCGTGGCGGTCTCAACGGCAGCTGGCGAGCACAGCAGGACCCCACAGCTCCGAAGCCATACGACGTCACATTCGTTCGGAGCCAGATCGACGCGAGCCCGTATCGCGCAAAGGCTCTCGCAATCGCGGAGCAGAGTGACGATGCACCGCTTGCGAGTGCTCCGAGTCCTTCCAGCACGGACGGCGCGGATCGGCTGCTCGGAAAGATGCTGGTGGCGTTTCTGCGATTCTACTCGCGGCTCGACCGAAAAGCGCAAGCCATCTCGCTTGTCAACGGTTCGCCCATCCAACGTCGACAGAGCTCGCAGCCAAGGCACATCCTTTTCGACTCAGCGGACGAGGACGAAACGTCGGAACACGGCGAGCATTCGGCCGACGGCGCCGAGGCCGATGTGTGGGCTGGCGACGAGCTGGTGGTTCAGGACCCCTTCATCGTCGATCGAAACACATCGCGAAACATCAAGAGCAAATCCATCGAGCGCTGGCAGAGCGAACTGGATCACGCTCTGCACTTCCTGGGCTTCGACGGACGAGGCTCGGCTCCCTCGGCGACCAAGCTCGACGACGTACCGTTGCTCCTTGATCTCTGCATTCCGCCGGACGTGGCTGCTTTCATGGAAGTTGACGATGTTGGCTCTCGCGCGTCCGCGAAGGGACGCCATGCTGCCAAGTCCAAGGAGCCATGGAGAAGCCAGGAAGAGGCTCAGGCGCAAGCGCGAGAAATCGCCAAGCAGGCGGCGGAGAAGCTGCGCAGCGAGAAGAAGAGGAGGGCAAACAGGGCCAAGGCTAGCGAGGCTCGTATCCTCAGGGAAGAGGCGGCCATGGTGCAAGACATCGTGAACGACATGCATCCTGTGCAAGTTTCAGACTCGAAGGAAGATAACAACCAGCACGACGTTGTGCCCGACCGGCGTCAGGAAGATGTCCCCGGTCGCCACAATCCGATCCCTTCCACATTCAGCGTGGCGCCGTCTACCGGCAAGGCTTCTGCGCCGACACGCGGGTCTATTCACCACGACACGAATGGCCTGCATGCAAGCGAGCATCTCGCTCAAGACCTGGCGCTGAGTCCGACCGTGTCCTCTGGCACAAGCAAGACGGACGAGACCTCGTCTTCCGAGGACCTCGACCTCGTAGCCCTGCGCTTAAAGTATGGAGACCGCTTCGACGCGTGAGACACCTCCGCCAGCGTCATGTTGGCTCGGTCGTGTCAGTGTGCGACCATTCATTGTTTCCATCAGCCCAATAATGCAAGCCTTGCGCAGATCGTGACGTTCAAGTTCGAATCGTGTGTAGCGTTGGGTGTGATATCGAGGAAGGCTTGACGTGAGCGGAGGGCGGTGCGTACCCAAAGTTCTTGTGGAGGTTGGCTCGGGTGAAGCGCGTAAAGTGACAGAGATGAGAGTCGCGTCGGGCGTCGGCTGCGCGCGTGTTGGTGGAGCGCAACACTCTGCGCAAAATTCCCACTGTAGTCGCTGGAGGGGTTCGCTCTCCACGTCGCCTATCCTTCTTCCTCTGTCGCCCTCTCGCCCTCTATACACGCCGTAGCTCTGCTCTCCAGTTGCACCAACATCGAAGCCCGAGCACACAGAGCCTTCTGCGACCATGCTGTTCGTCGACAAGTACAGGCCAAAGGCTCTGTCGGAGCTCCACTACCACCACGATCTGTCGAAGCGCCTTTCGTCCTTGGCCGGCCATGAAGACTTCCCGCACGTCCTCATGTACGGACCATCAGGAGCTGGCAAGAAGACACGCATCGCATGTCTCTTACGAGAGCTTTACGGCTCTGGCACTTACAAGGTTTGCTATGCTGCCCCTTGACCGCCTCTGCGTTTGCTTGGCCTCACTCACATCGCTCTTCCTCTCTCTTTCCGGACGGTACAGCTCAAGATCGACCAGCGTGTCTTTGTCACACCCTCGAACCGCAAGATCGACGTCAATATTGTCTCGTCCAACTACCACATCGAACTCACTCCATCGGATGCAGGCATCTACGACCGACTCGTGATCCAGGACATCCTCAAGGAAATCGCACAGACCCAGAACGTCGATCTCAACGCAAAACACAGGTTCAAGGTGGTGGTAATCAACGAGGCCGACTCGCTCAGCAGAGATGCTCAGAGCGCACTGCGAAGGACCATGGAGAAGTACATGGCCAACTTGCGGCTGGTGCTGTGCGCGACGAGCACGAGCAAGATCATCGCGCCCATCCGATCACGTTGCTTGCTGCTTCGAGTCGGAGCCCCTTCGGACGACGAGGCGAGTATTCGATTCCCCCGCGAGGGCCTGATTGCGAATCGAACGACTGACATGAGAACGTTGTGATGTACAGATGCGAACCGTGTTGACACACGTCGCAAAGAAGGAGCGCTTCACCATTCCGGACGCGGTGCAGACGCAGATCTGCGACGACTGCAACGGCAATCTGCGCAAAGCCATGCTGGTGCTCGAGGCGCTCCGCATGCAGTCGCCCGGCCTCTCCGCCGGCATCGGTATCGCCAAACCGGACTGGGAGATTTACATCACCAAGACCGCAGACCTCATCCTCTCGGACCCATCGCCACAAAACCTGCTCGCTGTCCGCTCCAAACTCTACGAGTTACTGGTGCACGCCATTCCGCCTACACTCATTCTCAAGCATCTCACAGACAACCTCGTCCAAAAGGTAGATAGCCAGGTCCGGCCTGCCATTGTTCAGAAGGCGGCGTTCTACGAGCTCCGAACGCGCACCGGATCCAAAGTCATCTTTCACCTCGAGGCGTTCGTGGCCGCCGTCATGCACATCCAAAAGAGCTTCCTGCTCGGCATGAGCTGGGACGACTAGGTTGTCATGGGCGAGATGGGATCGATTACTCTACTGGATGTACAGCAATCAATCGAATGCATCGAGACTAGAACAGACGTGTGCGGCGAGAAGAAAGTCAGAGCATTGCCGCTCTCGACGAGATCGAACGGGCATCGGGAATGCTCGGCTGGGCGAAGTGGCGCTAAGGCTGCTTCTTGGGAGAAGCCTTGGTGCGGTTGGGCTTCATCTCGACGTCCCATCGCTTGGACGCCACGTCTCCGCCTTGTGCATCCTTCATGAGCTGTCGGAGCTGTTGTTGAGTACCGCAAGTATCCACTCAGGCAAAAGGTGATCAGTGGTCTGTATGAGATTTGCCGTATGCTTGCCTACTTACCTTGACGAGCAGACGGCCTTTGATCCTCCAGGGAGCGAGCGAGGGGCTTGCGTCGTACAGCTCGGCAGCCTGAGTAGAGAAGACACGCAAAACAACCATCAGTGGCCGAGGCTAAAGTCTGGGCATAGCGAAGCGAGGGACCTACATGATCCTGAACGACCTTGAGGATTGCAAAGTTCAGATCATCCCAGTGCTCTGGCTGCCAAGCCTGTTGGTCATGGAAGAAAGAGCGTCAACGTGATGCAAATATCGACATTAGTTACGACCCTGACTTTCACCGTGCAGGATGATACTTACGCTGGCAAGCGGAGCCTGCTCCCTAGGCGAACGTTGAGCGGCGGAGCTGGAGCCGGCTTCCTCCTTCTTGGTAGGAGTCTTGAGAAGGTCGTTGCGCTCGGCCTTGACCTTGGAGCGCTTCTTGGGCGTGGTGGGCGGGGGCGGGAGGTCAAACTCCTCCTTCACCGGGGTGGTGCTGCCCTCGCGAGCGTCGTCCATCTCAGCGTCCATGGTGGAGCGCAGCTCCGAGACGGGCTTGGCGGTATCGCCTCCTTCGATCACCATTGGCATCTTGTTGGCGTCCTTGCGGCTGTTGTTGCGCTGCGTCGTAGAGTTGTCGTCGTCAGGTTGGCCCTCGTGGATGGGGTTGGACAGGAGCTCGGTCGTGCGTCGCTGACGCTTGCCACTCATGGCGTCGTCGCCCTCATCCGCCCTTTCGGTGCGCTTGGGCAGGGCCGGTCCGCCCTTGAAGACCGCCATGCTTGCAGCCGCCTCGGTCGGCAAGTAAGGCTCCCTTGAGCGCGGGTCGAGTGGGATGGGACTTACAATATCGTACTGGTTGTGAGCAGATACGAGGTATAGGGATGCCGGAGAACGGTGTGCGTGGTAGAAACCCGTAGCGCAAGCTGATGGGGAAAGAGGGCGAGGGCTTGGCAGGGCGGAGAGGCGATTAAATGGATGCTCGCGAAGTGCGGAAGCAAGTGCGGAACATGTGTGCGGCCCCTGGAGCAAACTGGACACTGCATCAACTGCCGAGCTTGCACCGCTCTCAAAGCAGACGCTGCAAGCAGAGATGTCCATTGCGTGCGGCTAGTGTGTGCGGAAAACGAGATTGTGTGAACACGTCCGCATGGCGACGGAAGCGTTCCCACTGCCATCTGCACGATTTGGACTGTGAACCTTAAACGGCTGCCAGCGCAACACAGTCCTGCCGCCTAGGTGTGATTCCCAAAGCAGCCAAAGCCTTCGTCGAGTACACAGAGGACGATTTAAAAGCACGCTGCACAAACACAAGCACATGTAGAGAGGATTGCGGTAGTGCGTTCATGTCACGGAAGCAGAAAGAAAGAACTACAGCGTTACTGCTGGCGATAAAACTGGGCCATTCGGTCGAGAGCCTGTTCGTACGCGTCGCGTAGCTTGCGCATCTCTCGGGTCGCTGCGTCCTCCTCGACAAAGTCAACCTCTTCCGTTTTTGGGAGGGCCTTGAGCTTGACCTTGGTGATTGGAGTCTGACGCATGATGGCGCGGACCATCTTCTTGAAGTGACGAGCCTCTTGCTCCTCGACGAGGGTCCAGGCATCGCCGTGCTTGCCCGCACGTGCAGTTCTGCCAACACGATGCACGTACTTGGCCGAATCGACGGGAGCATCGTACGAGATCACATGTTCCACCGACGGCAAGTCGATACCGCGGGAAATGAGATCCGAGCACACCAGCCTGTAGAGACAAGGTCAAACTAGGGGTCAGCGTTCCGAACGCACGGGAAGTCCGCCATGGAACGGAGTGTCAAACTTACAGATCAATCTCGCCGTTTCCGAACTGAGCGAGGATGCGCTGGCGATCGGAGGGCCTAAGCTCGGACGAGTAGTTCTTGACGACCATGGGACGCGCACCGCGCGCGATCAATCCGCTTTCCTGTCGCACCTCCTCAAACATCTCGATCAGCTTGACCAACCTCGCAGCGGACTCGACCGACTTGGTGAAGCAGAGCGCCTTGCGGATCTTGGCGGCAGCTTGCTCGTCGTCGGGACGATGCAAAAGATACAACAGGTGGAAAGGCTTGTCGGCCGAAGTGGTAACGAGCATGTGCTCGTGCAGCGAGTGAGGAAGCGAGAATCGCTCGTGCTGCGCTCGTTCCGCGCGGCCACTCTCTCCGTCGGCAGCCGGATTGTCGTCCTGCACTGTGATGTAGTGCGGATTCCTCAACCCCAGCGCCGCAATCTTGGCGGGATCGCGTGTCAAAGTCGCCGAGAACAGCAGCTTTTGCACAGATGGAACGGCCTCCTCCTGCAGTGTCGATCGAGCGGCTGCCGCGAATCCGGATGATGCGCTTGAGAGTAGCTCGTACGGCGCTTGAGCTGGAGTCGCCTCGGTGCACCGGCTATCAGCATTGGCGACGCCTTCAGTGGCGGACAGGACACGTCGCAGCCACTCCTGGAACGACTGGTTGAGCAAGCGATCTGCCTCGTCAATGACGAGGAAGCGCAGGTGGGCGAGCGTGAAACCGGGCGTCGAATCCAAATGATCGATCAATCGACCGGGAGTGGCGATGAGGATGTCCACCTTAGACTGCTTCTGAACAGAGTCGTCGTCGTCATCTGCATCGAGCCCCTCGACGAGCTGGGTCTGCTCGTGAGCAAAGCTGTGATGACCTGTGGCCGTGGCGATCCTGAGACCCGATCCCTTGGCAACCAGCTCCAAGGTGCTTCTGACCTGGGAGACGAGATCGCGCGTAGGAAGGACGATGAGCGCTCGCAGACGAACAATCTGGCGCGTGCGCAGCACCTCGACGATGGGCACCGTGTATGCGAGCGTCTTGCCGCTACCGGTCGGGGCGGAAACGCACAGATCGCGGGGCGGTGCAAATGGACGGTACAAGGACCGGCTCTGAGGCTGGGCTAGCAAGCAAGGGATCACCGAAATCTGAACAGCAAACCATTCGCTGACTCCAAGCGCCTCCAAGCGCGAGCGCACCGTGTCGCTGAGCGCGACGTTGCCAAAGTCGTCCTGACGGTCGCCGCGAATGGTGCTTTCGTCGCTCGCGCTCGCAACGGAGGTCGAGGCGGAAGCGGTACCTTGCGCCTTTGCGAGGTCTTTGCTGCCTGCAGCTTGCGGTGGAAGGGGCCGGGAAAGACTTGGGTTCACAACGACGCGATTTGAGAGGCCCTCTGGAAGTCCAAGAGAGTTGATCAGCTTGCGATCCACGGCGGCTTTGACTCCGGCCAGCGGGAAACGCTCCAGTGCTTTGACCTCCTTGTCCGCACTCGTACTGTCTTGCATGGTAGTATCGGTGGTCTGATCGCCATCATTGTCGTTTACTTGCGCAGGCTCGGATGGAGAGGCCGGCTCCGATTCATCGCTCCCGGACCCTGAGTCTGGATCGTGCTCCGAATCCGAATCCGCGTCCGAGTCTGAGTCCGAGTCTGAGCTGGAAGACGACCCAGAAGCTGAAGACGCTGCTGCTTTGCGCGCGGCAGCTGCGGCGCCCTTTGATCTTGATGCTTCTAGTCGCTGCAGCTTCTCCTCTTCGGGAAGATGTGGGACGGCGGAGTTGTCGGCGATTGCTTGTGCCTGCTGAAGATCATTCTTTTGCTTCTTAGGCGCAGCACGCTGCCTCGCCTTGCGACGGTCCTTCTTTGCCTTGAGATACCTTTGCTTCGCCTTGGTCTTCTCCTTGGGCCCCGTCCTTGCCTTGTTCACCGACTGGCGGAGGAGCGGTGCAGCGTTCAGACGAGACGGGTGGATGTTGAGGGCAGGCTTAGTCGGTGCTGCAGCACTCGCCACCGAGGAGGAGGCAGCCGAGGTCGAAACCTTTGGCAGAGCGCTCGAGCTCGATTGCGCCGCAGGAGACGGTGCATCTGCACCGACGGCAAGCTTGCGCTTCTTGAGAATGCGTTCGTTGAGCGCATCCAGCTTGGCGGAATCGGCAGAGCCTTTCTCGGGAGCTGATGACGATGAAGATGACGCTGCAAATGCGTCGAAGCGCTTGACCGAGAACATTTCGACGATGCTTGGCGGCCAGCGGGGGGTGTATGGTGACGGAGCTGGTGGATTGGCAACGTGAAGCTTGCGGCAGAGTGTGGAGAACCCTTTCTCGTCTGGAAAAGTCTGTTGCAGCCAAAAAATTCCGAAGCGCAGCCCGGGAGTCGGCCATTCCAATAAGCAGCTGACACTGAATTTGTCATCCGCAGTTGCTTCTCCACATTCAGGACTTGGTTCCGCACCCGGTGCCAAAGACCAACAGTGCTTAGCAACTTTCTGTAGGCGTTTCCGGCAATCCCCCATCCGCACACTCAGCTATACTTCTGTGCCGTTCAACAGCCAAAGTTGCGACCCAAGATGCCGTCTGCGACAACTCAGGCCAAGTCGACGGTCGAGATCGCCAACGCCGGCTTTTCGCATATTCAGTCCAGCAAAAGCACGGCTGTGCGTACCTCGCCCGACTTTCTCGTCCTCGTCCTCGACATCAATCCGCTGGCATGGACGCGGCGCTCCGAGGCGCTGAACAAGGGCAAGAGAAAGCAGGTCACAGCTGATGTTGCTCTGGAAGATGCGCTCTCTGCGATCATGATTCTGCTCAACGCGCACATGGCCATGCAGCACGAGAACGGGCTCGCCATCTACGCTGCTGCGGGCACGGGCATCG